TACAGAATAGTCTCTTTCTCCCACAAGCAGCAAAGGATTTTTTTTTAATCCACATTGTGAGAACGCTAATAATTGGCATATGCCCCCAGATGAGCCCCCAAGAAACACAATGATGAAGCACTCTGTGTGGGTTAGACAAAATGAAACAGATGAGCAATGTAGGTGGGTAGGCAGGGAGAGGGAAGGGAATAGAAGGACAGATGACAGGTGACTAAGAGGGAGACCTCACCTAGATTATGAAATTCAAATCTACCAGTACATTCTCCTTATTCTACCATTTTTCCTTCCCTGCCTTCCTTCCAATATATACACAAACATACTCAGATAATTTAATTTGAGCAGTTTCAATGCTGCTCATAAATGCCCCCAAGGACATTGCTACTGGTTTCTAATACCAAAATGGCCTTGAAGACCTGGCTCTCCCTGAACTTTTATGTAGTGCTTGTAGAACTCAGTGGCCACATCTACATGAGATATTTATTGCACAGCTGCCTAATTAGCTTTGCAGTAAAGTCTTAATGTCTACACGTGCAGCCCTATTAGACCACAGGAAATTAATTAACTCCACCGTAAATACAAGTACTAACCTGCGGCGGAGTTCTTGAGTGCTCAGTCATACATATGTAGACGCTGACGGGGCTGGCCAGGGCATGAGGGTGCTTCAGTGCAGGGGCTGCCTGCTGACTGGCCCCACACTGGAGCACCCTCATGCCCCAGCCAGCCCCTCTGCAACATGTTGAGCTGGGTTGGAGCAGCCCTGAGCTGGCAGGTTGACCCCCTGGGCCACATGCCAGCTGGAGCTACTCTGACCCAGCTCAACGTGCTGCAGTCCTGGGCACACATTCAAATGCAGTGCCTGGGAGCAATAAACTCTGGCATGATATTTATCTTTGATACGCATCAGAGTTTATTGCTCTGTGTTAAAAGCGCACACAGTTTGTATGTCTTTAGTTCAAAACTTTCAAAATTAAACCTGCTTCTGTTTAGAAGATTTGCCAAAAACACCCTCATTAAAACAAGATCAACGAGTGTTTTCATTATCGCATTTTTAAGTGTGAGAGGAAATTACAAAGCCTTGTAGCCATGTACATTTTCACAATTTTTTTAAAAGTTTCAATGACTACACATGTATGCATGGATACATACATATGTACATACTCACTTTCCTTTAAGTAGCATCTTGCAGTACTGGCAGCCCAAACATTCAAGTGAGACAAGCCAATTTGCTATTACTGTTCTTGTCCAAGTTAAGTGAAATTAAAAAGCTAGCCTTAACAGGGAACATTGAATGAGGCAAAGGTCCTGTGGTGAAAAATATATATGATCATGATAGTAGGCTGCAATCTAATGTATATGTACATGGGAGATGAATTAAGGTTGAACAGATAACTTTAATATGTCCTAACAGTTAAATGCCTGACTGTGCAACCTTTCCTTTTAATATAAGAAATTTAAAATATTTTAAAAAAATATTTGGGTCTTTTTTAATTATTCACAATGTTGTTAGTAAGCTGAAGTATAAGAACTTCCATTTTCTGAGGTCAAAGCATAGACATCTCCTGTTTGGGCTAACAGAACAGGAGGTACCATCAATAGACTGTTATCCTCTTTGTGGGACACCCACAGCAATGGAAGTGATCCTTATGGATCTCATAGCTGCTGACCCTCTGCTATAACAGTGAAATGTGTAGATCTAGTAATTCTGAATTTTATTTCAGGTTCTGGAGGAGAGGGTGCATCAGTGCCCTCTGTCGTTGTCTCCCCAACCTATTCTTCCCTCGTCCGTTGTAGCCCAAGCTCATATCTCTATTCTGTTCTCTTCCTGTCACAGTTGCACTAAAGTCAGGCTGTTCCTCCTCCTCCCTGGGTGCCAGTGGGGCGTCACATAAAAGAGGCAGTTTCAGTTTTCTTTTACAGTATCTGGTGTGACAAATACCCTCAGCAAAGGAGAAAGGCAAGTATAGGGAATTCCTGTTTAAACATAGCAGCTTTCCACAGCCACGCTGCAAAGCGGGTACATGCAAGGTCTAACCACCATTTAGGAGATGTAAGAGAATGGGGCATATTGGTAGGGATTAGAATTTTGGATTGGTAATTTGGATTGTAATATTTTTTCCTAAAAGCATGGAATCAAATACTATGAGGGAAAAATACATATCCCTCAAGTTATATATATTCCTTAGCAAGTGTTCCTAAGGAAGAAATGTGATGCAGTAAAACTCTTCTTGCCAGACTGCTTACTTCTTTTGTTGGTAACGGGAAGTGGGGACAAAATTTCCCTTCGGGTAATGTGAGCAATATATGCATTCTGAAAACTTCCTAAAGATATAATCTAGCACCAATGGGTTAATTCATTTTGCATGTAGATGCACAGAGACATTTTCCTTTCAATTCAGATCATATTCACAGCCCATATTTGGCACTTTCCATTACATCATACAAGCACACACACACAGAGCTCAAACCCTCTTTCTTTCTCACCCGCTCTCTCCACTCTTCTCTCTTTTCTGCACACCCGTCAGTTATAAACATTTTCAACATACGCCATTTTCCTTTCTTCTTTTGCTGCATAAAAGAATGCAGTGAAAATAACTACTGCTCTGAGGACCAACTTTTCCTCTCAGCAAGTTTAATCTTGCAAGTGGCAGAACACTGCTTAGAAACACACACTTAAGTATGCCGTAGTCTCATTAACTTTAATGAAGTCAGTGGGACAAGTCATATAGGTACATACGCATACGTTTAACCTCCCCCTCCCACTCCTGGCAGTGTCATTTCTACACACACTTAAGTCAACTATTTATTTCTCTTTGATTCAACAAGTCAATCTCTGTTTCATTCCCTAAATCTAAAAACTGCATTTACTATATAACCTCAGCAATATGAGCCTAGAACGTGGTCTCAGGTACACAGGTGTTTCATCGGCAGCAATGTCAGCAACTCAAATGCCCATTTATACTATGATAACCAGTCTCCAGCTAAAATGGAGGCATGAATCATATTGATGCTGGCCATCTCTACTACCCATCCTGTTCACAGAGCAAGACAACGTTCCCTAGATATAAGACACACTCGTGTCAATCCAGACAGGATGGGAACGATGCCCGTGCACCTCAACAAGTGGCTGTGTGGATGCCCAAAATATGTAAAACAAGATGTGGTAAAAACCCAAAATGAGACACTAAAGACATCAACATGGAAAAGGATCTTTCACAGATTACCCCTCCCTCCCCCAAACCCCAACTCCGCAGCTTCTGCTGACGAAGGGAACTGTCTGCCACAGAAGTCACCGGGAACCTGGAGTGGGAGGGGCACAGGTAACTCTGGGACCAACATGGGTGGAAGGCAGAGTAGATTTGCACCTTATAGACTAACCAAAGTAGGTAGGTACACAAATAGATATAGGTTAGATATAGAGGGCTCCATATAGATCTCTTTCTGTGAGTATGTGTGTGTGCGTGTATGTATGTACACACACACATATATATAGTTATATGTGTGTGTATCTATATATATCTATCCATAGCTAGATAAATAGATCTCTCTCTCTATATATACGCGTATGTGCATATGTAGGAATCCGACCGATTCTGGCCCCCTTCACCACACATATACACCCCCAGCCACCCACCCCGGCCCCTCACTGCATAGTGGTGCAACCTGCAGTTCCCAGACCCATCATGGTACAACCCCCTTCCCCCCCGCCCCAATGGTTTGCTCTATTGAGTGCGCCGGCGGCCACGGCGGCGCGACGCTTTGGGCGAATCCAACTGCTGTACGCGGGGGAGGGGTTGGGCGGGGAGAGGCCTCACATACCGAGAGCTTCTATGAAAGTGCACGGGGGCGGAGAGCAGCCGCACTGCCTGCCCTCTCCTACCCGGCCGCGTGAAGAGGATAAAGCCGCGCAAAAGACGGCGTTTAATGGTTCCTTCCCTATTTTCCCCCTTTCTCTATCAGGGGCAATGGTGCAGGCCGGAAGCGCGGGGGGCGGGGCCTCGCGCAGCCCTGGCCGGCG